TATTTTTAGACGTGTTGGACCTGGTAAATTATTGTCATAATAATAATTATAGTAGTATAATAATTGTTTAGTTAAAATAAAACAAATTATTTTTTTAATGTATATAGATCGACGCTTATTTGCATTTTTTTTTCGTGGAATGCCTCATGAACCACTTGTATTTATAAATGTGGCATTAAAAAATGAACTTTCAAATAACATTCAGGTAAGAATAAAATTATCATAATACATACATATACATACACAGATAAAATCTCTCATCACACATATATATAAATAGGAAATATTGGAAGAACCAGAGTCAGATCTGATGTCATCATCATATTTTCATGAAATAAAACATGCAATATTTTATTCTATCACCAGCCAACCAGGCCTGTCTGGTATAGAATTGGGCAATTTTTTAATTAAAAGAGTTGTTCGAGTATTACATAGTGAGTTTCCAAGTATAGAAACCTTTTCAACATTAAGCCCCATACCTAGATTTCGTAAATGGTTAATTACAAGAATTAATATAGAAAAAAATGGTATATTTATTAATAATGAGGAAGGTCAAATTAAATTTTTAAAAGTTTCTTTGAAGCAAAATGATTCATCACCATTGAATATTAACAAAGAAGTGTCAGAAAAGTTTAAAGAAATTCTTAGTACAAGAGATTGGATCAATGATGAAAAAATTTTCTTTGTACTCAAACCAATATTATTATTATTATTATTATTATTATTATTATTATTATTATTAATTACATGTATATCAGATGCTTGAATATAACTAGTTGCTGATTTGATAGCCTCTTCTCTTGGGACACCTATAAATAAATTCTTAAGTGAGCTATCTTGTAAGTATAGAATAAGTATTTCATTGAAAAAGTATTGATTTTTTCCCTTCATTATGACATTAAAAAAAATCACATTTTACCAAAATCTCGAGCAAGAATGTTCAAGAGATTTTTCTTATTTTGCTAAGTATAAATAAATCATTGATAAAAATGATATTTAGCAAATAATAACTATTATTCTTCAAAAAAAGATCAAATCAATCAATTAGCTTCATAAACTTGTTTACTTTATCAAGATTCTCATAAACTTCACAAAATTCTTTCGCTTTCATACATGGCAGTAAATCTCCCACATTGGCTTTACTATAAATTGTTTCTGTTATTAGTTTACGCATATTCTCTAAATCTGTGAGGTCATTAATTTTTTTACGAGGGGGAAATCCTAGTAAATTGATAATAAATTTTTTGAATAAATTTACTAATTAAAAATTCATATATATTAATTACCTGTTATGTGTGTATAATTTTCAACATCATTCCAATAATTCTCCACACTATTTGATTTAAGTGTTTTTGATGTTGAATCCTCTGGATTTGATGACAGTGATGTTTTGTTTGAATTATTTTCATTTAAACTTAAAGAAGTTGAAATAAATCCATTACTACTACTTTTTATCATTGTGGCTTTCTTCAATATTTAAATTTAATAAAATGAAGTTAGGAATATTTTAGTTTTTATATAATTACAATTGAAAAAACTTTAGGGACACACACTAAACTTGTTTTTGTGATCAATGCCGAATTTGTAGAATTTTGCAATAAAAAATTAATGGTATACTGCTTAACTAACTGTTTTTGAATTGTTATTGATTTAGGAACAAATGAAGATAAACGAACTGGTATGATTAACTTTATCATATCTTTTTTTACGATATGTAAAAAACCAAAAACTCTCTATTGATGTGAATTCGTGTTACTATAGAGCGCCACTGTAATACATTGAAGGGTCCAATATTATGTGTGTTACAAACATATGTAATCAGACAAAAGTGAACATTGGTATTAGTATTGCCGATGATTTCAGGGATCAATATGTTTGTCTAACATCACAACTGTATTACCAATATAATGTGATCATGATATTTGTTATTTTTAATAATTAATTCGTGATGTGTGATAGAAGTAGAGGATCAGCACATTTTTTAATAACAAAAAAAGAGTAAAATATTTATTAAAAATCTCATTTTGTAAATCCAAGTACGTCCAGTGTTGAAATTGTCGACGATCTGTTAATTCATTGGTTGAATCAGTAGATCAGCCCCAAATTTTTATCACAAATTACACAAAAAAATTAATTTTTT